TGTATTTTTTAAAAAAAGCCCAGTTCCCATGGCTCACATCTGTAATCCTAGCTACCTATGAGGCTGAGATCTGAGGATCACGGTTTAAACCAGCCTGAGCAGGAAAGTCCATGAGACACTTATCTCCAGTTAACCACCAAAAGGCTAGAAGTAGAGTGCCATACTTGTGTGAAAAAAAAAGTTCAGGGATGACACCCAGGCCCTGAGTTCAAGCCCCATGACCGACAAAAATACAGTACTAATAATATGTAAAGGAAAAAAATATAATGCATGCTTATTATTGAAGCAATTCAGGTTTCCCTAAAGGAAAAGTTAGCTGAGGGCTGAGGAGGTAGCCCAGGGGCAGCACTGCCTGCCTGACATGCATGAGGCCCGCGGTTTAGTCCCCAGTATCACAAACTAAAAGCTGGCTGTCTGCTTGCTTTCTCTCCAGGACACCAGTCTCCCTGAGAAGTAATAACAGAATGTTCCACTCGCATGACTAGTGTCCACGTCAGTGACTTGGCATGAATCGTGTCACCCTGTGTCTGCTCTTGTATTTTGGTTTTGATGTTTTTCCCGATTTGCTGGCCAGCCTCGTTTCCTCTTCCTGCATCCGTGGAGGCTCTGCCCCATAGAAGCTTCTCTGTGGGCTTGCATCTGCAGCAGCAGGACCAGTCTCGTTAGGGGACTGGTTAGATGGATTCATTGATTCAAGATTAGAAAAGGGTGTCCACAACATCCAGGACCAGGCCCCCTACTAGGGTCCAAGCACACTTACAAGAAAGGACTAGGAAAGGGGAAAGACTTGGGCTCCAGATCTGGCCTTAGCCACTCACTCATGAAACCACGGCTTGCCTTATAGTTAAAAGCCAATATGGTGATATTATGTCAACATGTGGCTCCCACCCCTCCCTCCATACGCTCACACACACACTAGGCAGTGACTTCCTCAGGGAAGCATTAGAAGGCCTGAGTTCTGATTCTAGTGTACCACTTCTTCACTCTGCTTTTCTAAGTAATGCCTTTGCTATCCTGAACCTTGTTTTCCTTCTCTCCATAATGGGCCGATAACACTGGTGTGACACTCCTGCAAGTCCCGTGTTGTATGATGATGAAACCTAACACAGGCCTGGCCTACAGGGTACCAGGAAGTGGCCTTGGTGTTTTTCTTCCTTCTCTTCTTCTGCACAACAGGCGCCTCCTCTATCAGCTCCTCCCTTCCCGCCCGAAGGCTGCAGCTCCCCACTCCTGTGACTCTCTGAGCTGAACCTGTGGTTTTTATCTAAAACAAATACCAGTCCAGCCCTGATGTGAATTCAGGGCCCCGGTGCTCCTGGCTGGCTGGAGGAGACTGTGGAATTCACAGGCGCCCAGTCCCTGCAGCCTACCTCAATCTCAGTGCTGCCTGTTCTTGGGGGCATCTGCTTCCTCCTCGGAAGCAACAGGAGACCTTGATAAAGTGACTATAGAGATTTCTAGTACTTGAAAGTTGCCAGAAAGTTGGGAAGCTTGTTGTCTGACCCCAGGCTGCCAAACAACTTCAGTTCCATTGGGGTCCTCAAGATGTCTCCCTGGCTAAGGCCAGCAGGAGGGACTACAGATGGAACTATCCTCACCCTACGCCCTAAACCCCTCCATCGTGCCCCAGGCTTCCAGTCCCAGCAAGCAGCACCTCACCTAGCCTAAGGAAGTGTGGTGCGCTTCTCTGTTCCTCCAGCTCCTTTGTTGAGTGCCTCCCATCATTCTGCCACCACCAAACCCAAGCCCCCATCTTGAATCACCAGGTCTAGCGCACAAGCCTCCCATCGACCTGACTGTCTTGCTTCAGCTCCTGGCCCTGGGAGCCTACACACAAGAGTAGCTAGAACAAGTGAGAAAGGCAAGGAGGAGAGAGAGCTGTGCACTGTCCCTGTGGGTCTCTGTGGGCTGAGGGGGGACCTCAGGAGGCAGCAAGAGACTGGCCCATGTCCACAGGGGGGTGCTGGTGAGCTGCACCAGGAGGAGAGGCTACCACAGGCCTGCGAGGGGTTCACACATCTTGCCTCCCTCAGTGTGAACACTGAACTGTTTGTCCTATGTGCCTGTTCAGGGCTGGTTCTGGGAACCCAGGGGTGACAGGGCCACGGAGTGCAGGGTGATCCGCAGTGACCTTGTCCTTCCGTCTTTGGCTCACGTGTGGCTTCCTCGGGTGCCTTTCCTGGCCTCCTGCCGGCCTCTCCTGCCTTCCTGCACTTTCTCTTCATGATCGCCCCAGTGTGTAATTAGATGCTCTTGTGACTGTTTGCTTGCTGTCTCCCTGCTGGGCTGCCAGCCTCGTGCGCTCAGGCCCGTGTCCGCACAACCAGCCTCGCAGCTGCCAGCACTGGGATTTCATAATCACTGTGCGAACTAGGCAGCAGGATCCTAGGCTATGGAGGAACTTGTTTCTCTCTCTCTGTAACATTAGAGAGGGGATCCAGGGGCCTCATGCATGGGAAGCAAGCGATCTACCACTGCAGCTAGGCCTCAAACCCTTTTGTTCGATTTTGTTTTGAGGGTCTCTTTACCTGAGCTGATCTTGAATTTTCAATGCAGGAAATACTTGGAGCCTTGTCAGGAAAGCAGAGAGGGAGGCTGTGCTAGAACCAGGCCTTCCCTCTCCCTCCGGGTACCTGGGACACAGGGTCAAGAGACCCAGAGGTAGAACCCAGAATCTTAGATTAGCACAGCCTAGCAGTTCCTCTCTGGTTCTCTATCTCAGTGGCCTTGGGACCCTGGAAGGAGGGAGATGCCAGGCTCTCTCTTGAGCCAGCGCAGAGCACCTCCTCCCACCTTGGTATTTCAGGGTCAAGGCTAGAGGTGGGTATGACGTATGGTTCCCAGGGCCTGAGAACCTAAAGGCTCTGCTGCTTTGTCTTCTAAGAGACTGGCAGCCGGGAAGTGTTGCCATAGAGATGAGGCCCCTGGGGCTGGGAGCTTCCCCTTTGCATCCCCTCCTCTGATTCCTGAGTCTGAGGCCCCAGCTCTCCCTGTTTCTGTTTTCTGTCTCTAGGAGGCCTTGTCTTGTGGCTCCCTAGGGGCCCGGGACACACAGGTGTTTTCAGAGCTTGGCAACCCCAAGTTTGGTGGTCTCTAAAGCTGTGTGTACCCCTTAGAGCCCCTCCTCCCCCAGGGGCTCTAGACCTCCCTTTCCCATCACTCTAGCCCCAGGCTGTGCCCACTGCTTTTTTCTAGGTTCCAATGGGGATAGGCGCCGGTGGCTCACGCCTATAATCCTAGCTACTCAGGAGGCTGAGACCTGAGGATCTCGGTCCAAAGCCAGCCCGTGTAGGAAAGTCTGTGAAACTCTTATCTCCAATAAACCACCAGAAAACCGGAAGTGGCACTGTAGCTCAAGTGGTAGAGCGCTTACCTTGAGCTGAAGAGCTGAGGGACAGCACCCAGGCCCAGAGTTCAAGCCCCACGACCACCACCAACAACAACAAAAAGATAGGCTCCAATGGGAATTGGGCTTGTGTTCTTGGACCAATGACAATCATAGTTAGATTCAGGGACTGGGAGCTCTTTAAATTGAGGGCTGGGGAAGCTGATTAAAGACTGGTCAGGAAATGAGTTGTGCCCCTGGCACCAAGTGGCTATGGCAAATGATTTTTTTTTTATTCAAACAGTGTGCCTTTTATGCCTCCTTCCTTTGCCCCAGACTGTCCTGCTCTACCATCCAGTGCCCTTTCCCCTGGTCTCTACCTGACAAACACCTTTTCATCTTAGAGGTCCAGCTCAAATAGGATGTCTTTGGATAGTGCCCTGCCTCTTCCCATCTCCCAAACGGAATGACTCCTCTGCCTTCTGAAGCCATGGTTCACTCTGTTCCTGGGCCTTGCGGGGCAGGGAAGTCCTTTTGCACATTTATATCCCTCTTAGGCCATGAGCTCCACCAGGTACTGGTCTCTTCTATGCCAGGCCAGTGCCTGACACAAGGTAGATGTTCAGAGTGCTGAGGTTTCCTGTGCAGAAGCCTCATATGTATTTTATGTCCCCAGAATTACACAGTGCCTGGTACAGAATATACATTTGGTGTCTGTCCAATGGCTGAATGGGTAGAATTCTACCAGAAGAGTGTCTCTGCAGGAGATGGAAAGGAAGGTCTTGGAAGGAAGCAGAAGGAGGGGTGTCAAATCAGAAAGAAATGAATGTAGAATGACAATGAGGATCTTGGAGGAGTCAGACAGATGGGCTGAGGATCCAGGGTGGCCTGGAGTGGGGCTCAGATACAGGGGCTTGGGACACAGGAGCCTCAACACATAGTAGGGCCTTTGAGGATTTGAGCAGCAGGAAGTGACCGCCTTTCCCGGATGTAGCAGGAACATCCCAGGCTCTGTGCATGGTTGTGTGGGCTCCAGCAGGTGGAATGAGGACCAGGTGCTAAGCGGGGAGGAAGAGAAGAAAGTAGAGGGAGCCTCCTGGGTTTCCAGGGGAAGGTCAGAACCTTAGGAGGCAAAGCTGCCTGTCCCAGTGGGGAGCAAGTGGAAATCAGCCCTTTGCATCCTCACTAAGTCAGGCTCTGAGGAGGAAGCGGAAAATCAATTCATAATGAATGAGGCCTTTCAAGCTCTGTCTAATTCCAGTCTTTCTCCTAAGAAAGGTCATCTGATACCTGGAAACCACAACAGGGCTCTGTCCCATGTACTGGGCAGGGTTGAGGGTACTATGTTAGGCTGGCAGGAAGACCAGCTGTCTGCTGGGCAGACCCAGGCAGCCGTCCCAGGGACCTGCCTGCAAGCCCATTGGTTGGGGAGGGGGAATATGGTACACCCTTCTGTTCTGCAGTCAGCTAGAATTTGGGGGGTACCTCCAGTCTGCCAGCTCTGCCTAGAAGCACTAGTACCCAAAGACTGAGCTTCGTCCTCACCCCCAGCTTGGGAAAGAAGAGGGGGCTCTGCTGTACAACTGGGAGTAGCCAAGGCTCAGGAAGGACTTAACCCAGAGCCAGGGGGTGAATAGTGGCATATCACAAACTCTACCATCTCTTGTCATTCTAGAAAACTCCACAGCCAGCGTGAGCGAGGCAGAGAGGAAGGCCCAAGTATACTACCATGCGTGTATGAATGAGACCAGGATAGAGGAGCTGAGGGCCAAGCCCCTGATGGAGCTGATCGAGAAGGTCAGTCCCTGGGGCAGATCTCAGTGCCCTCGGCTTCCACCCCACCCAGCTCTCAGCCCCCACTCCCAGCTGAACCTGTCTGTCTGTCTGTGGCTAGGTTTGGCGGCTGAGGGGAATATGTCTGTCCATGTGGGCGAGACTGTCTGCCTGTATTGTGTGGGGTTGTGTAGCAGCATCTGGTGTGGATGTCTGTGTCTGTGTGTGCCTCTCTGTGCATCTGTGTGGAGGACAGAGGCCAAATTCATGGCAAATCTTCCTTTTTGCTATTCCTTTTCGTGTGAGTGTGTGTGTGTGTGTGTGTGTGTGTGTGTGTGTGTACCATTTCAGATATAGATCCATCCAGGTAAGGAGGACCCTACTGTCCTCCTGGACACATCCCTGGCACTCATGGGCAGACTCCAGGAGGGCAGCGCAAGGCTGGCCGAGCTGCCTGGCATAAGCAGGTGACATGGAGGTTCCGTCCTGCCTCCTAGCTTCCTCATCAAGAGGAAGGCCTTGAAGCCTTGAAGTTAGTGGCACTGAGGCTGGCCCTGGTCCTCTTCTCTGGCCATGTACTGGTATATGTTAAGCAAGGGAGGACTAAGATTGTTTTTTATTTTAATTTCAATTTTGAGAAACTGAAGGTCATGATTTACCTATCTTTTTAAGAAATATGGGGCCTTTTTTCCCTAGGCACAATTGAACTTAGAGTTTGGGTTTGGTCTTTTAATTTAATTTTTTTTTTTTTTGCCAGTCCTGGGGCTTGAACTCAGGGCTGGGCACTGTCTCGGAGCTTCTTTTGTTCAAGGCTAGCACTCTACCACTTGAGCCACGGTGCCACTTCAAGATTTTTCTGTGTATGACGTAGTACTGAGGAATCAAACCCTGGGTTTCATGCATGCTTGGCAAGCACCCTACCACTAAGCCGCGTTCCCAGCCTTTGATTTTTTTTTTTAGATAGTTTTGCTTTGTAACCCAGGCTTGGACTCAAACTCGCAACCCTCCTGGCCTCTCTGCCTCTGTAGTGCTAGGATTTCAAGCATGTGCCACCATATCCAGAGACATTACATAGTGGTGGTAGTGTGTGTGGTGTGTGTATGTATGTTACAAGGATTTGGACTTAGGGTCTCTTACTTGCCTAGAAGGATGTCACACTTTCAGTCCATTTTTATACTTTTTTGAGTCAGGGTCATTTGTGAGTTAAGAGTCTCACTTCCTGCCCAGGCATGCACCTAGACCACAATCCTCCTATTTTTCACTCCCACAGAAGCTAACATAACAGATGTATACTACAACACACAGCTACTACTGTTGGATGGGATCTCAAAGACTTTTCTGTCTGGGTTGGCCTAGAACCTTCTGCCTCCCACATAGCTCAGATAATGACAGGTGTGAGCCACTGGTGCCTGACTGGATTTATGCTTTAATAGCAATTATAGTCACATGATTCGGTATCCAGGAAGTAAATGGCATATGTGGCAAAGTCTCTCCCCGTTTCTACCCTTCCCCGGCCCCTCTATGGCCACATGGATTCTTGGTGGACTTGGTGAAGATAGGTATTTGCTCCATGCAAACATGTCGAGCTCACCAGGGACTCCAGTGAAGATTTGCCCTGGTGGTGCCCAGAGACCAGGGTCACAGAGCCTGCATTCCCATACAGGTGTCCTCAACTATCCCCCCCTCTCCCCATTGTCTGCTTCCTCCCACAGCTGGGAGGCTGGAACATCACAGGCCCCTGGGCCAAGGACAACTTCCAGGACACCCTGCAGGTGGTCACGGCCCACTACCGCACCTCACCCTTCTTCTCTGTCTATGTCAGTGCCGACTCCAAGAACTCCAACAGCAATGTGATCCAGGTGAGGAGGCCACACCGGGAGAGGAAACTCACCCTGGATGGGCACTAGCTCTGCTCTCTGAGCCTGGGTTGTTTCTCGCTGCCTCCCCCTTTCCTAGCATTAGCTGCTTGCACGCTCATTCTAGCTCTGAAGGTTGGCTGTTGTTTCTTGTATTTCCAAACATGAGGATCACAAGAATCAAAGAAGTTAAGTAACCACAGGCTCGTGGCTCTGAATCCTATGGCACTGTTGGGTGAAATAAGGGCTCTTTCCCAAGACCAGGAAGTACAGCCCTTCAGAAGGGTCCAGAGTCCCTGGGGTGACCCTATGCCTGGGCAGGGGTGGACCTGCCCCATCACCCATCAGCAACATTAGCTACCAGCTTGGGTTACTGCTGACACCTGAGCTGGCCCCTCAGTGCCATGTGCCAGCAGTCTCCAGGACGGGGGACACAGGTGTGGGCAGCAGGGGACTCCCTCTCATTCCTGCTACCCTCTCCAGGTGGACCAGTCTGGCCTGGGCTTACCCTCCAGAGACTATTACCTGAACAAAACCGAAAATGAAAAGGTGAGTGTGCCCAGCCCAGCCCTCCGTGTTTCTTCCCCTCAGCATGCAAACCCCCCAGACACCTGGACAGGTCTCAGAAGCTGGGGGAGAAGAAGGTACCATGGGGTAACAGGGAGGCATGCCCCCAGCATTATGGGCACAAGGGAGAGCATCTAGGTATCATTGGTTAGTAGCCCCACCATGTGTGGGTACTAGATCTTTGTATGCATCCCCTCTCAGCCTCCCAGTAGTCCAGCAGATACAGACAGATACAGCAGATATGGATCCTCATTTGCTGCTTCTGTCAAGTATCAGTTTTGCCTTGCCTTTCATAGGATGGAGTAAGGCTCAGAGACACTAAGTGGCCTACTCAAGGTCCCACAGCCCGTAAGTGGTGAGGGTAAAAGCCATCTCCTCCAAAGAGCAGGCTTTTCTCCCCCTTGGGGCCCAGGTAGGCTGGATTGCACCTGCTGCCCTGAGCAAATGCCTGCTGTGCATCTGATGCAGGTGGTAGGGAGGCAGAAAAGATGGCTGTGGGCCCCTCTAAGTCTCAGGGCTCCAGGCCCGGTGGGGCTGGCAGTCATTACTTCATTGACCCCACAGTAGATGCATGTTCACATACTGTGGCCGCTGAGAAGGGAAGACTTGAACACAGGAACCTAATTCAGATCCAGGGAGTCAGCAGTGGAGGGTGGCTTGGAAGAGAACAGCAGGACAGCCCAGGCCACGCACTGAGACACGGGGCCAGCAGGCGGGGGGAACTGTGGGCCTTCAAAAGCTTTTGGGCTTTACCCTGAGGACCACAGGGAGCCAATAACCAAGCCCAGCACCAGAATCATTCTTGAAGCTGTTTCCTGCAGGTTTCCGGGGTCAAGGATGCTGTCCACTGGCAGAAGGTGGTGGCTACCAGCACTTTGTTCCCCACAGGTGCTGACTGGTTACCTGAACTACATGGTCCAGCTAGGGAAGCTGCTGGGCGGGGGCGACGAGGATGCCATCCGGCCCCAGATGCAGCAGATCCTGGACTTTGAGACGGCACTGGCCAACATCACCATCCCCCAGGAGAAGCGCCGGGATGAGGAGCTCATCTACCACAAAGTCACAGCGGCCCAGCTGCAGGTGACTGAGCACCAGCCGTGTGCCTGCGCGGGACTCCAGGCAGGGTGCTGGGAGGGAGGGAGGTGTTTTACACCCACTTCTTCAGATCTCTGAAACCCTTTGGTGAAGGAGAGATGGTTGTGGTGATTCTCTAAGAGGTCATGCTACCTGCCGAAGACCACATGGTAGTAAGTGACTCCACAGCTGGGTTCTTGCCCCACGCCAGGCTGCCCTGTAGGATGGCATTTCCATGTTTAACATCCGTAGAGTAGACAGGACATTTCAGTCTCTCTAGCATGAAGAACATCCAGCCTAGTGACTGTAAACACTAAATCAGTGGCTTCTGCCATTACTTACCCCTTTTCTGAGCCAGGAGGATAAATGATGCATCAGGGTCGGGGGCTCTTTGGTGGCAGAGGAGCCGGCCACTGGACTCGGGCTCACATCCCCTGCCGACATCCTGGAAGTGTAACTGGGAGTCAGACCTGAGCTCTCTGACTGGTGGAGTCCATCCGAGAGAGGCCTGCTGTCACCATAGGCCAGCCCTCCAGGGATTGCTCAGGCTTTCTTTCTACTTCCTTCTTTCCACCTAGCTTTGTTGGACTCCAGGGCCCCAGAGCACTCAGCAGAGGGGCCTCTGCTGAGCTCCCTGTGTCTCACCTCAGCTAGCAAAGTGGGGCCTTGCCCTTGCACTAAGAGAATGCCAGGGCCAGCGCCCCAGTGACACATCTCCGTGTGCTTCTCTCCCTTCCTCCAGCCAGATTCTGCCTGTCTGCTCTTCCCATTCTCAGGAGGGACACTGAGCCCTCCCTTTGTGCCTGGAGCCCCCTCAGGCCTTGGCTTTTGTACTTTTCTGGGCAGAGAACAGTCCCTCTCTCCTTACTAAGTGACTCAGGAGGGGAGAGGCTGGGGACTGTGAATCTAAGACGGCTGCACAATAGCCAGGCTGATGGGCGTCCCGCCTCCTGCTGGTGCCAGCTGCCCACAGGTCCCTGGGGAAGTGGTACCCAGCCAGTGGGTTGTTAGGGAGGTCAGCAGCCTGCAGCGGGCACCATCTGGCTTTTTTCTGTTCTGGGGCCAAGAGATGGAGGGAGATGTTTGTGCAACATAATTTGGTTTACTCCGGCCCTGCAGCACTCAGCCTGAGTGGTCTTGTGGCTCTGTGTTGGTGCCATGACACTGTGATGTCCAGTGGAGGGGTGGGGCAGCCCTGAGCCTCAGCCCAGTGAAGACACTAGACTCTCACCCTGGCATCCTCTCTTCTTCTAAGGAAAGGCACTAGCACCCAGGAGGACATCTAAGTCACAAGGCCTTTGAAGAACAGCTCAGTACTATGTAATGTCACCTAGAAGAAATGGGCAGATGTGGTTATTAAAAAAAAAAAGTAAAAAAGTCTATCTGGGTTCCAGTGGTTCACACAATCCTTGCTTCTCAAGAGGCTGAGATCTAAGGACCATGATTCCAAACCAGCATGGGCAGACAAATCCACAAAACTCTTATCACCAGTTAATCAGCAAAAAGCCATTAAGTGGAGGTATGGTTCAAGTGGTCTATCACCAGCCATGCCAACCAAGAGCACAGGGCCCTATCTTCAAACCCTAGTATTGGCAGCAAATAATAATAATAAGCCAGCCACTGGTGGCTCATGCCTGTAATCCTAGCTGCTCAGGAGGCTGAGATCTGAGGATCATGATTCAAAGACAGCCTGGGAAGGAAAGCCCATAAGACTCTTATCTTCAATTAACCACCAGGAAACCAGAAGTGGCACTGTGGTTCAAGTGGTAGGGCACTAGTCTTGAGCTGAAGAGCTGAGAGACAGAACCCAGGCCCAGAGTTCAAGCCCCATGACTGACAAAAAAAAACTAATGATGATATTATAACATTTAAAGGAGCCTGGTGGACTCGCTGGTGGACCTGCCCACAAGGTTGAGAGGAGGGACATGGTGGCTAGCCTGAGATTTCATTTTGTAAACTGACAAGCACAGTGGAAGCCTCATTGCCTTCATATCTGGTGATACTGTCCAGGTCCCCAGCACTAATTTACTGGAATCATTCCATCTTGGGATAAAGAACATCTTGTTCTCTGGGATCTGGGCATTTGATGTTCTTCCTAGGTTCTAGGTAAATTAAGGAATGGCACTGTAGGCTTCACAGTGAGGTTCTAGGCTAGCCCTGGCTCCAGGCTAGCCCCCAGGAAGAGTAAGAGCCTGAACTCAGAGCCTCAAATCAGACATCTCCATCTCTTGCAGTTGGCATGCGGGAGCCCCTTGCCCACCCCATTTCTCCAGCTGAGATAGCACTGAAAAGCATCGACTCTCCCCTCCTCCTTCACAAACCTCTTGGCATTGGTTGGTTGGTGCCCAGCAGTGCTCCTTTGCTGTGAGTTGGAAAACAGGGCTCAGCACTGTCCCCAGAGGGTTTGAGTCCCCAGTGGAATGTCCCAGGCGACTAAAACAGCTGTCTCCACAGAAATGGAGCTGGGTTCATGTGTTTAATAGGAGCAGTAGAGATGGGACACGTGAAATCCTGGTGGTTGGCACACAGTTCCTTAGCTTAGAGCTGTGGGACTTTGCCTGCACGGAGTACCTGCTCCGGAAAGGGTTTGGGTTGAGTGCGTGGCATTTTCTCCATCAATTCTGTGCCTTAGTCAGAGTCTCAATCACGTGCGGTTCCCAAAGCGCATGCATTGTGGGATGTGTGAGCAGGGACGTTGTGTGAGCACATCTGTTTCCTGGGGTCTGGGCCAGTGGATCAAGCTCTCCTTGCTGATCTCATGAGCATACCCCTAAATTTTTTTTTTTTTTTTTTTTTTGGTCGGCCGTGGGGCTTGAACTCTGGGCCCGGGCGCTGTCCCTCAGCTCTGCAGCTCAAGGCGAGCGCTCTACCACTTGAGCTACAGTGCCACTTCTGGTTTTCTGGTGGTTTATTGGAGATAGGAGTCTCACGGTCTCTCCTGCCCGGGCTGGCTTTGAACCGCGATCCTCAGATCTCAGCCTCCTGAGTAGCTAGGATTACAGGCGTGAGCCACCAGCACCCGGCCATACCCCTAAATTTTGCAGCCACAGAGATGTGAAAGAGGAACCTCACGGGTCTCCTGCCTGGGACTCGACAAGCCGGGGGGAAGGAAGCCCTGGGTGGGACAAGCTATGCAGAAGGAAGCTTGGGGAGTAGTCTCAGGGGGACAGAGCAATCAGACCTGGGATGGGGGTCACTGTCCCCCATTTGGAGAAAGGACTCTCCAGAGCTGGCCTCTGACCTGTGTCTGCACCTTCCCAGTTCATGTTGCTGCTGGCAGGTAGGGCAGGTGGCTGGTACCTGGCTGGCGCACTGGCTCCCTGACGCTGGTGGTCTTCTCTTCCCAGCAGGCCGTTGCCAGTCAGTCTTGGTAGGGATGTTTGCCTATAAAGCACCAATCAGTCCCTCACTCTGTTATCTCTAGCAGCCTTTATACCACCACATTTGGAGGCTTCCTCCTCAGACCCTCACCTGGTCCTTGAGGTCTTTGTTTCCCAATAGCCAAGATTGCTTTTCAACCCAGAGATGGTGACCTGCAGGGCAGCCGGGGACGGGGCGGGGGTGCTGGGAGGTGTGCATGTCCACAGAGAACGTAAAGCCCTGAATTCAATCCCCAACACCAACAGAAGTTAATTAAGTCCAGAAATGAGTGAACCCGGGTCTCCAGTTAGCCATGTGACCTCAAGAGGGTCACGGCCTCTGGAGAGTGCTCCTACACTGCCTACCTCTGTGGTGACATTTTCAAGTGAAACCAGCCTGCCACAAGAGAACAAATGCTGTGTGATTTTCCTTGTCTTCCAATTCCTAGAGGCAAAAGGTGGGATGGTGGCTTTTGCGGGGGGGGGGGGGGGGAAGAGGGGGCAGCGGGGAGGGGAGAAGGGACAGATAGGGAGATGAGAGGTTGAGGTAAAAGTTTGGGTTTGGCTGGGTGCCAGTGACTCACACCTCCCTAGCCACTCAGGAAGCTGAGATCTGAGGATCACAATTCAAAGTCAGCTCAGGCAGGAAAGTCTAGACTTGTTCTGAATGAACCAGCAAAAAAGCCAGGAGTGGAGCTCTGGCTCAAGTGGTAGAGCACTAGCCTTGAGTGAAAAGACAGGGGTAGGGGCTGGGAAGGTGGCTCAGTGGTAGAGCGCTTGCCTTGCATGCCTGAGGCCCTGGGTTCCATTCCTCAGCACCACATAAGCAGAAAAAGCCGGAAGTGGTGCTATGGCATAAGTGGTAGAGTACTAGCCTTGAGCTGAAGAGCTGAGGGACAGCGCCCAGGCCCAGAGTTCAAGCCCCACAACCAACAAAAAAAAAAAAAGACAGGGATAGAACCCAGGCCCTGAGTTCCCTGTGCGCGCATGCACACACGCACGCACGCACACACACACACACACACACACACACACACACGCACAGAGGAGTTTGGCAAGAGCTCTGTGCCTGGATCTGATGGTAGTGATGGCGCAGATGATTGCCTGATGCTATGGAATTGGACTCATCAACATAGCTGAGATGGTGTATTTTGTTGTTTAAAATGGTGCAACTTTGTAGTCAAAACACTAACAAAACAAGCCTCAGGCAAGGCTGGCAAGGCGCAAGGATGCTGGCCGCAGACACTGGCGTATTGCAGGTGGACTCTGAGCCATGGGATGCCCCAGAGGTGCTCAGGGTGGGTGAAGTAGGAGACGTGTATATGAAGCAGAAGCCTGGGATGTGGGGGAATCATTTGTAGCCTCATTTATACCCTCCTGGGTACACAGGGAACATGACAGGCACCTCCCCTCCTGCTGCGGGTTACCTCTTGGCTTTCCCGTTCCCATGCCTGGGAAACATCCCAGTGGAACCTCATAGTTGAGCCCCACTGCTGCTCTCCTTCACAATGGACCAGGCCTCTAGAAGCTGACCGCAGACTGGTGCTGTTGAAGCCTAGGTTGAGCAGAACAGACAGTTCTGTTATGGTGATCCTCATTTGTCAAGTGCAGTGTCAAGGCACAGAGGGGCTCATTAACTTACTCAGAGTTGCACAGTTTTTAAGCAAGGAGTGGGCTCTGGTGGCTTGGCCTCAGATTCTTCCCTGATAGGGTCTCCGTGTCTTCCTCTGAGAGGTGGCTGTCATCGTACCTAGCGCTTGGTTCTTGTGAGAGATGATGGGGATGGTGTGCGTGATTCCCCTGAGATGCAGCGTGCCACATGGTGGCGGCGGCGGCGGCGGCTCCAGCATTCTCTCTTATTCCATCCTACTTCCAGTTCAATAAGATGGTGATTATTGGAGCAGCATCTCACTGTAGAGCCCAGACTGGCCTTGAGCTCACAGTCCTTCTGGCCTCAGCCTCCTGAGTAGTAGGGATTACGGGATGGACCACCATGCCTGGCTCACGTGTGAGGTTTTGACACCTGGCTTCTGCAGCCGCTCTGGCAGAAGCCAGCCTGCCGCTGTCTGCCTCCCCCTCCATGTACTATCAGACAGCACCGCATACTGACCGTGGGCAGAAGCAGAGGACACAGTACCACCGTCTTCAGGGGAATGTACTGTGGACCGCTGACCCAGGAGGAGAAGCGGCCCAGCCACATCACGCCCTCCTCTTCTCTTGCAGTCCCTGGCGCCCGCCATCAACTGGTTGCCCTTCCTCAATGCCATCTTCTACCCCGTGGAGATCAATGAATCGGAGCCCATTGTGGTCTACGACAAAGAATATCTCGAGCAGGTGTCCACCCTCATCAACAACACTGACAAATGGTGAGGTTCGGGGCCGGTGGGACCAGGGGGACACAGTCAGGAGAAAAGCCCTGGGCAGCCTTGATAAGAGGCCACAAAGCATCCTGGCCACAGGACAGGTTCAAATCCCGGCTGGTCTCCTGCTAGCACTGGAGCCTCAGGCAGGCTTCCTTCTCAGTGTTTTTTGTCTGACTCATGATGAAGATGTAGGATTTGGGATGGAAATGTGGCTTAGTGCTAGAGTACTTGAAGCCCTGGGTTCCATTCCTAAGTACCACGTAAAAAGAAAAAGCCGGAAGTGGTGCTCGAGTGGTAGAGTGCTAGCCTTGTGCAAAAGAAGCTCAGGGACAGTGCCTAGGCCCTGAGTTCAAGTCTCAGGACTAGCCAAGAAAAAAAAGTGTAGAATTTGTGAGGATTACATAATTTAACAGTGCCAGACCCATAATAGACCCCAGGGGATATCAGCTACTATTTTCGGTTAGTGTTTGAGATATTGTGTGTGTGTGTGTGTGTGTGTGTGTGTGTGTGTGTGTGTGTGTGTGCATGTGTGTGTGCGTGCGTGCGTGCCAGTGCTGGGGCTTGAACTCAGGGCCTGGGTGCTTCCCTTATCTTTTTCACTCAAAGCTGGCCTCTACCACTTGAGCCACAGCTCCATTTCTGGATTTTTTTTTACTGGTTGGTTGGAGATAAGAGCCTAATGGACTTTCCTTCCTAGGCTGTCTTCAAACCACACTCTTCAGATCTCAACCTTCTAAGTAGCTAGGTTTATAGGCATAAACTACCGGCACCCAACATTCTTTTAGGTTTTGAAGATCTGTAGACATGTTGAAAACTATTGAAAAATAGAGAAAAATTTAAATTACCCAAAACACTAGTCTTGATCTTGTGGAATATATGTGTATGTGTTTGTTTGTTTGTATCTCTGGGGATAGAAAGGAGGAAGGAGATGGAGAAAAAGAAGAGAGGAGAGATTAATTTTAACACATGGCATTTGTCCCCAGCACTGGGAAAGACTGCTTTTCTTGTGACCTTTGACATTTCCCTCATGTCACCCTAAGCTCTCTGGAAATATCATTGTTTCATGATTACATAATATTCCCTCAAGTTTAAATATGGTTATTTACTTACTCTTTCCCCCAACAACAGAGAGACATTAAGCTTGATTTCTTGGGAGGCTGTGTCCACTGTGGTGAGCAGCTTTGTGCTCAAGGGACCTCTGTGCTAGGGTCACAGCAGTCACAGCTAGGTCCTTCCTGCATGAAGGCAGTGGGGATCATCATTCATAGGACCCTCGGCCCGGACACATACAGCCTCCCCTCTTTGGCCTTCAGGTATGGAATAGCAGCTTCCTCCCTATCCCAGCAGCCTCCAAACACAGAGTAGCCAAGCTATAGTATTTACTGAGCCACTGGTGGCACCATCGGGTTTTTTATGGTAAAAGATTCAGGCATTGCCCTTAAAGAGTTAGAAACTTTTCCTCTGCTAGCCAGGCGCCAATGACTCGTGCCTATAATCCTAGCTACTCAGGAGGCTGAGATCTGAGGATCATGGTTCAAAGCCAGCCTGGGCAGGAGGGTCTGTGGGACTCTTATCTCCAGCTAACCACCAGAAAACTGGAAGTGGAGCTGTGGCTCAAAGTGGTAGAGTGCTTGCCTTGAGCAAAAAATCCTATGCCCTGAGTTCAAGCCCACAACAACAACAACAATGAAAAACAAAACAAAACAAAAAAAAGCAAAACACAATTCCCTGTGCTTGGAAAGTAGCAACCATCCTCTTGGACAGTCTGGGAAAGAGCTTGGACTCTGAGGCTGGGGTTTGAGCGCCACCTAAGGGCCAGGAGGGGAAGTGCTGCCAGGGCGTTTCTGATCCCCGTCCCTTCTCTTAGCCTGCTCAACAACTATATGATCTGGAACCTGGTTCGTAAAACAAGTTCCTTCCTCGATCAGCGCTTCCAGGATGCCGATGAAAAGTTCATGGAAGTCATGTACGGGACCAAGAAGGTGAGGCTGTGCCTGTGTGTTCTCAAGTGTGTGTTTAATACCTCCTGTGTGCTAGACCCTGGGCCCAGGGCTGGTGAGACCGCAGTCCCCTTGTAGGGCCGTGACACTCAGGAAGGAGGTAGACATGGGTGTTTGAATGGGAACGTGCATGCTGGAGGAAATGAGTTTATGCAAACACTCTCTTGAGCCAGCTGTGGTGGTGTACTTCTGAAGTCCCAGCATGCAGAGGCTGAGGCAGGAAGAATTCCAGGATGCATAGCAACAGTGGGTAAGAATCTGTCCAAAAGCTGGGCATCAGTGGCTCACGGCTGTAATCTTAGCTATTCAGGAGGCTAAGATCCAAAGGATTGAGGTTTCAGGCCATCCCAGGCAGACAAGTCCTTGAAAGTCTATCAGAATAACCAGCAAAAAGCTAGACTAGAGGTATGACTTAAGTGGTAGAGTGCCAGCCAAGAAAGCAAGCTTGAGTAGTGTGAGTTCAAACATCAGTAGTAGTGGGTAGGGAAGAAGGATGTGTCCATGGTTCGGCCATCATAGCCTGGATCTTCCACAGAGCCTCAAAGTTAGGCTTCCACTGGTCCTCTCCTGTATGATAGATAGGCCTTGGCCAGATCAGGTTCAGTCCATGTGTCCATCTAGCTCTGGCTTCTTTGCTGGGGAAGGCAGGAGGAGAGAGGAAGGCTGAGGCAGACATCCAAATGGACACAAAGTTGGGGGGGAAAAAAAACTTGATCCTAATTACTGGGGAGGCAGAAATTAAGGTCTGAGATTAGCCTAGATAAAAGTTAGCGGGGCACTGGTGGTTCACACCTGTAATCCTAGCTCCTCAGAAGGCTGAGATCTAAAGATCACTGTTCAAAGCCAGCCTAAGCAGGAAAGTCTGGGAGCCTCTTATCTTCAATAAACCATCAGAAAACCTGAAGTGGTTCTGTGGTTCAAGTGGTAGAATACTTGCCTTGAGCTGAAGAGCTAAGGGACAGTGCCCAGGCCCAGAGTTCAAGCCCCACAACTGACCGGAAAAAATAAAGGTTAACAAGACCCCATCTCAACCAATAAGCCAGGGTGGAGGTTGATACATGCCTGTAATTCCAGATATTCAGGAGGTCAAAGTAGAGGGATTCTGGTAAAAGGGTAGCCTGGGCAAAAGTGTGACACTCAGCTGACCGCTGGTCCCTGGCTCATGCCTATCAGCCTAGCTACTCAGGAAGCTGAAATCTGAGGATCTTGGTTCAAAGCCAGCCAGGCAGGAAAGTCTGTAAGATGCTTAACTCTGATTAACCACCAGAAAATGAGAAATGGGTCTGTGGCTCAAAATGGCACAACACTAGCCTTAAGCAGAAAAGCTCAGGGATAGTGCCAAGGCCCTGAGTTCAAGCCTCATGACCAGGGGAAGGGAGAGTAAGACTTTATCTAAAAACAAACTAAAGCAAAAAGGACTAGGGTGTGGCTCAAATGGTAGAGCACCTGACTAGCAAGCACAAAGCCCTGGGTACCACTAAAAAATAAAAAAGAAGAAATCTAGGGTACTACACTTAGAGGAGACTAGAATGCCCATGCCTCCCTTTCTTGTCTAGAAGAATTTTTTTTTCTGGTACTGGGGCTTGAACGAGGGGCCCTATGCCCTCACTCAGCTTTTTCTTTTCTTTTTCTCTCAGCTAAAGAGCTATACTTCACCCACACCTCCAATACCAAATTTCACTGGTTATTTGGAGATCAGAGTCTCTTGGACTGTCTGCCCAAGCTGGTTCCTAACCTCCATCCTTAGATCTTAGCCCCCTACATAGTAGGCATATGGGTGTAAGCCATCGTTACCTGTTCTTTTTTTAGACAAATTTCACTTTGTAGCTCAAGCTGGCCTCAAACTCATGATCCTCCTACCTCTACCTCCCAAGAGCTGGGATGACTGGTATGCACCTCCACCCAGGTGAAAATTTAAACACTCAGATATCAGGCTGGGCGCTGGTGGCTTCTGCCTGTAATCCTAGCTACTCAAGTGGCTGAGATCTAAGGATCGTGGGTCAAAGCCAGCCCACGCAGGAAAGTCCCTGAGACTCTGATCTCCAATTAACTACCAGAAAACTAGAAGTGGCGCTGTGGCTCAAGTTGTAGAGCATTAGCCTGAGCTGAAGAGCTGAAGGACAGTGCCCAGACCCAAAGGTCAAGCCCCACAACCAACAAAAAAAACAAAACAAAACAAAAAAACCCTAAGCTATCATTTACAAACAAAGAAATACTCAGTATCCATCAAACATACAATTCAATTAATTTTGACAAATGAAAGTCACCATGGAACCACTGTCCCAGGGACAGTGGAGGATCTTCCCACAGCCCATTTCTCCTGCCATCCTGGGAGTAGAAAGTTCCAGCCCCCCTTGGGAAGTGTAGCTGGGTGTCCAGGGGCTCCTACACCGGCTGCTTGTGTTCAGCATGAGTGTGGGGAATTGGCCATATTGTATTGTCACTGCTTCCTTTCCGGTGCCAGGTATGAACGCACCATGCTTTGTTTAGCACCTGTCTGCTGATGGGCTGTGGGTGGTTTGGGGCCAGCAGGAGTGGGCCATCCCGCAGGTCGGGGTGAGCAAGGCTGACTCTTAGGGATCACGTGGGGGACGGATGTCTGGGCGGCTGCAGCCTGTGAGCCCTATTTTGGGTTCATACAGAGACACCTGCACATTAGGGGAGGTCACAGCAGGTGAACCTGGACCCCCAGAGGTGCCATACAGAGGGTGGAGGGTGCTGTGAAGGGGGGGGGCAGGGGACCAGAAGCTTCCTGAGTTCCTTTGCCCCCAGGATTCCTGTGTCCTAGAAGAAGGTCAGGGAGGTGGAAGGGGGAACACGGGGAAGGTGTGTCCGACTTCCCACCTCAAGATCAACCCTCATCTGCCTTCTCTGCTGAGCTCCCCGGGCCAGTGGCTGCCCCTCACTGGTTTTCTTTTTCCCATCTGTGCAGTGGCCCTGGGCGTGGCCGTGGCCCAGGCACTCTGTTCCGGAAAGCCAAGCACAGAGGCCGGCACCTGTGGCCTCTTGGTCCACTGGGCCAGGGAAGGTGGATGTTCTGGAAGGAAGCAGGGCCCCTTCCAGGACTGGGCCCGAGCCCCTCCCCCGCCCCGCCTTGTGCTTTGCAGACATGCCTTCCTCGCTGGAAGTTCTGTGTGAGTGACACAGAGAACAACCTGGGCTTTGCCCTCGGCCCCATGTTTGTCAAAGCCACCTTTGCGGAGGACAGCAAGAACGTGGTAAGTGCTTCAGGCATGCCTGCCTGTCTGCCCGCCCCTCTCACACTCTGGAACTTTCCAGCTCCAGGGAGGTAGCCCAGAGTCCAGCCTTCAACGAGAGGTCCCCATTCTCAAGGCTTCCAGGCCAGGAGCTGCTATCATGTCTGCCTGTCTGTCTTCTCCACCTTGACCCTCCCAGTGACCCCCTGAGGTTACAGCAGCCATCTTTAGCTCCCAGGGCTCTGAAAGGTCCAGCAAAATAAGGTGAGCAGAGCTGTTGTAGCCCAGAGGGTGACATTTCTTACTCTGTGGTGACAGCATTGTTCTAGGAATTATTGAAGACTGTCATGGAGACTACCAGGCCCCAGTTCATACCCTGGCTCTGTCGCTGCCTAGACAGGTAGCGCAAACAATTCACCATGTGATCAGGGGGTAGCACTGCCACAAAATAAGGCCCAACTAGTGGTGGCAATTATATTATTGTTATAGTTTTTATCACCTTCTGATGACCTTGCTGCTGCTGGTGGTGGTATTAGGGCTTGAACTCAGGACCTGGTTGCTGTCCCTGAGCTTTTATTCTCAAGGCTGGTCCTCTACTACTTGAGCCACAGCTCCATTTCTGGCTTTTTTGGTGATTAATTAGAGATAAGAGTCTCATGGACTTTCCTGCCCAGGCTGGCTTTGAACTGTGATCCTCAGATCTCAACCTTCTGAGTAGCTAGTATTACAGGTGTGAGCTACGGGCACCCAGCTGAATTTTTAATTTTTTTAAGATGGGGCCTTACCTGTGTAGTCCAGGCTGGCCTTGAACTCTGGATTCTTAGCCTCCTGAGTGCTAGGATTACAGGCAGACATCTCCATGCCTGGCTACAGTTTTTGTCACTAAAAGTACTGATTGTGTAGCTCTCATCTGCCATCTGAGGTTAGCAAATGGGGACTCAAATCTGAGTTGAGGTCTCTCAATCCCACCAATCTCCCTGCTGCATGACTTTGCCTTCCCCTTTTCTAGAACCTTCCACCTCTGTCTTTGGTCTCTGGGTCATCTCCTCCATGAACACAGCATCTCTGGGGTCCAGTCAGTCTGGGAAAGGCTCTGGGTTCTGTGGGTTCTAGCATCCTCTCAAAGTCTCAAGGTACTTTTCCCTATTAAAGGCTTGAAAAGTCCTGCAGCAGAGCCATTTCTAAGTTCCCCAAAGCTTGTCTTGGTTTACTTGATCCTGGAAGTCCTGTCCTGTAAGGTGCTGGTGGTAGCAATGTGGCCTGCAAACACGAGTGTGGTCCCCTTCTGAGCCTGGCATGGAGCCTGAGCTTAGCCTCTGGCTGGTAGGCACCTGTTCCATTTAGGAGGGGCAGGGCCCGGGCCTTCCCAGTAAGCACAGCATCTGTCTCCTCAGGCCAGTGAGATAATCCTGGAGATCAAGAAGGCGTTTGAAGAGAGCCTGAGTACCCTCAAGTGGATGGACGAAGAGACCCGGAAATCAGCCAAGGAGAAGGTGCGGCTGTGTAGGAGTTGGAGGTCACTGAGGCAGAGGGCACAGTGAGGCAAGAGGTAGGAGGAGGCACTAGCTCTGCCTGTGGGCATGCGCAGATGCCATCCTGGCTTGAGAGACAAGGGCAGGATGGGGAGATCCTGAAGCCATTGTCTCGTGATCCATGGCAGAAGACCCCCAGTGCACACGCACAGGGGAGGGCGTGAGGAGGGAGGGCCCTGAGTTCAAGGCCTGATACTAGCATACGCGCATGCGTGTGCACGCGTGCACACACACACACACACACACACACACGAAAGTTTCCCACACATAACTTTGGGGAACACCTTCAAATCATAACCTTCCCTTGGGGGAGTGACATTGAAGCGAAGACCTCAAAGATAAGCAGAAGTTAGACAAGCAAGTGGGGATCCTTCCAGAAAAAGAAGTGAAAGGCCTCAGGAGGGAAGAAGTGGGCGCTGTCTCCCTCAGCGCAGCCCCTGATGCGGGTCGCACCGGGCGCTCACTTCCTCTATGTCCCTCCTGTCCAGGCGGACGCCATCTACAACATGATAGGCTACCCCAACTTCATCATGGACCCCAAGGAGCTGGACAAAGTGTTCAATGACGTGAGTGGCCTCCTCCCGTCCCCTCCCTCCCGCCCCTGTGGGACAGGGGAAGGAGGAGCTGGGTCCGGTTTGGGATGCTGGTGGTGGCTGCAGGCTCTTGAGGCATCGCAGGATGAGGTGGGATGGCGTCTGGGGATGGACCCTGCCACTTCACGTCCGTGCCCCGCAGTCATTCCCTGAACACCTGCTTGGGCGCCCCTCTGGAAGCATGGACTCCAGTCAGTGAGTTGGAAATAATGGGGGACTGGCTGGGGTGTGGCTCCATGGGAGAGTCTTGTGCTTAGCTGGCCTGCGACCCTTGGTTCCATCCCCAGCACAAAGAGTGAGTGAACACCTTTCAAAGGTACAGAGAGAACCAGTGTCCTAAAGCATCCTGGGTAGAGTGGAAGGTGGAGCCCCTCAAGCCAGTTGCTCCTGCCCCCAGAGCCACTGCCTGAGTTACCCCCCCTCCAAGAAAACAGGGGCCTCTGATTTTGACCTTGAAATGCTCATGAGAAGCAGCATAAATCCCCAGTACATTTTTTAAGTTTAATTTAGGCAGCCAGGGTAACTGCAGGATACCTACTAGTTACAGCTTGTAGCAAACCACTCTTTTAAGTGGATTGTGGTTTTGACCCAAATGACAAAGTTTTGTACATTCCCATGATTTGAAATGTTTGAAATTATAACAACTTCTTATGGTTATATTTACAACCTGAGACTATCAAAATTACTTTTGAGCTGAGCATCAGTAGCTTACGCCCATAATTGTAGTTCCTTAGGAGGTTGAGATCCAAAGGATCCTGGTTTCAGACTAGTCTGAGCAGAAAAGTCCACAATGCTCTGTTTTCAAAATAACCAGAAAAAAAAGCTGGACTGGAGGCATGGCTTAAATGGTAAAAGCACCAGCCAAGTAAGCAAGCTGAGAAAGCACAAGGCCCTAAGTTCAGACTGCAGTGCCAGCAAAAAAGTTAGTGTTCCATAATCTGAGGCTCATCCAATTTCTTGAGAACCATTTAGGGTGTTCTAGGAAATCATGATGCAAGATTCAGGGGCTCGGGGGAGCCATGGGGGGAGAAGCATGGAGGGCCGGCTGCGTGGTGAAGGCATGTGGTGTGAATGTCTGGCCTGCAGAGCCAACTTCCACTCCATTTAGTAGCTCTGCGCTGTCCAGTTGGTAGCTACTAGCATTATTTAATGAATCTAAATTAAGTGTGAAAAGCCACGCGTGCACGTTCCAGATGCCAGATGTTGCTGACATCTACCATAAAAGCTAGGGCAGGCAGAGAATATGTCCATCATTCCAGAAAGTTCTGCCCAACCAGTGTGGAGCCCTTTCTCCTTGTCTAAGGCTCAGGTCCAGGGCACCCTGCAGCAGGTGGAAGCCCTGGGTGAAGCTCTCAGTGGGGGCCTGGCAGGGAGAGAGGGGGCACCAGGCCCCAGCCCAGTGAGGACAGGATGGAACTGGAGCCCACAGCCCTCGCCTCCCAGAGCCCCTGCCGCAGTTCGTTCTCTGCTCTTATTAACCTTGTGGGATCTCAGTGTCCTTGGTTCTAGAAGGTGCTCTCAGTCCAGATCTGTTCACGGCCTGGCTGACTCCACTTTTCCCATTCCAGTACACTGCCATTCCAGACCTCTACTTTGAGAACGCCATGCGCTTTTTCAACTTCTCCTGGAGGGTGACTGCTGACCAGCTGAGGAAAGCGCCCAACAGAGACCAGTGAGTACCAGCCCTGCCAGAAGTGCCCTCCCCCCCTCTCTCCACCCCCTGTCTCTCCCCCCTCCCCCCCTCCTGCCACAAGGCTCCCCACAGCCACACGCTGCCATGCCCTGGGCTGACAGGAACTGTCCTGAGTGCCCTCAGAGGTGAAAGGTCAAAGTAGGGCCCAGCCAGGGGCTGGGCTGAACCCAAGTCTGTGCCCCTCCATGCCCAAGCCCGTTGGCACAGGAAGCCTGGCAGTGGTCCCATCTCCACTGAGTCAGCAGTCAGCACCTTCATTACTGAAAAATAGAATGGAAGGAGCTGGCTCCAGGGCCACCATGCAGATCAGACCTGAGAACTGAGGCAGGCCAGGCCCCCTGAGAGGAGGCCCTAGGCAGGGGCCCCACCAGCTCTAGTCTCTCTCTTTGTTATTTTTTAAGATGTGGTCTCACTCTTTTACCCAGACTTTCCCTCCAGCTCCTGGGCTAAAATGACCGTACTGCTTAGCCTCCCCAGTGTCATGTATCAGTGGTAAAGTGCTTACTTAGTATCTGCAAGGTCCTGGGCGCAGACTCTAAAACAAACAAACAAACAAAAAATGGCCAGGATTGGTAGCATATGCCTTTAATCCTAGCACTCTGGAAACTGAAACAGGAGGAGAGAAATTGTGGCTAGCCTGGACTGCATAGTACGTTGTAGACCACCTGGACTATATAGATTGTATGAGACCTTGTCTTAAGGACAGGAAGGAAAACCAGTTCCCTCAGGGAGAAAAATAAACAAAAAACAAAACAAAAAACCCAGCTGTAGTGAGCCCAGAAATGAATACAGCTCAGACTAAACTCAATTCCTAAAACTTCCTACAGAATTGGAGGTAAAAGAAACTTTTCACTGTCTTTGGCGCCCCCTGGTGGACAACAGGTCCAAGTTTGCCATTTTCACCCAGTGTACAGACAGGTGGTGTTTTATCTTCACAACATGGTACAGGCGTGCTGCCAGGTTTTTTTCATTTGTTTGTTTTTTAATGTTTGCAGCCGGGTGCCGGAGACTCACACAGGTAATCCAAGCTACTCAGGAGGCTGAGATCTGAGGATCGCAGTTCAAAGGAAAGTCCGTGAGAGTAAACCACTCAGAAAACCAGAAGTGGCACTGTGGCTCAAGTGGTAGAGCGCTTGCCTTGAGCTGAAGAGCACAGGGACAGTGCCCAAGCCCAGAGTTGCCCCACAACCGACAAAAAAGAAAAATGTTTGCAGTACTAAGTTTTGAACTCAGGTCTTGTGCTTGCTAAAAAGGCAATGTAGCACTTGAGCCATGGCTCCAGGCCTTTTTGCTCTGCTTGTTTTAGGCCTTTTGTTTGTTTATTTGTTACAAGCCAGACTAGACTACAGTCTTCCTATGTATGTGCTGGGATGATAGGCATGCCATAGTCTAGCTTTTTCTGTTGAGGTAGGGTCTTACAGATATTCCTCTCCCCCTCCTCACCTCAGCGTCCTCGGGAGCTATGATCACAAGTGTGAGCCACCACACAAAGCTTGAGATTTTATTCTTTTTTTTTTTTTTTCTGCTGGTCCTGGTGCTTGAACTCAGAGCCTGGGCACTGTCCCTGACTTTCATTTTGCTTAAGGCTAGGACCTTACTACTGAGCCACAGGTCCAATTCCAATTTGTTTGGTAGTTTAGTAGAGAGGAATCTCACGGTCTTTCCTGTTCAGGCTGGCTTTGAACTGCAATCCTCAGATCTCAGCCTCCTGAGTAGCTAGAATTAACAGGCATGAGCCACTGGCACCCAGTGAGATTTTGTTTTATTTTTTGTTGGTCCTGAGGCTTGAACTCAGGGCCTGGGCCCTGTCCCTGAACTGTTTTTTTCCTCAAGGCTAGCACTCTACCACTTTGAGCCACCACTTCACTTCCAGTTTTCTTGGTAGTTAATTGGAGATAAGAGTCTCAGGAACTTTCCTGTCTGGGCTGGCTTTGAACTGCAATCCTCAGATCTCAGCCTCCTGAGTAGCTAGCATTAACAGGCATGAGCCACTGGCACCAAGCGAAATCTACATTTTTCAGCTTCTTGATTCAGGTCCCTGGGGTATGGCCATCTTTGCCGCCCAGCGTGCTGAGCCTGCCGCCCTCATGTGTCTCCCCCTTCCCCCGTCATGTGCCTGGCTGCAGGTGGAGCATGACCCCGCCCATGGTGAATGCCTACTATTCACCCACCAAGAACGAGATTGTGTTTCCAGCTGGGATCCTGCAGGCGCCCTTCTACACCCGCTCCTCACCCAAGTACGCTGCCACCCCTGCCCCAGCCCAGCCCTAGGCCCACAGCTCGCCATTCCCTGAGCCATCTGGTGACCAGGCAACCTGGGATTGTGTGAAAAGGCGCAGAAGAAAGCTTCCTCGTCCCTTGCCCTTCCCACAGGGGCCTCTTGGCTCTAGCAGCCCCTCACTGCAGGGCACTGGGTGGAGTTGAGAATCCCATTGGGGAAAATGCTGCTCCTGACCTTATTTAAAGACATTGGGGGAGTTGGGGAGCGGAAGGGATGCTGTCCTACCAGTGAAAGCCACACAGCCCTGGGTTGGGTCCCCGGCTGGATGTGGGGTGACTGCCACTGGGGTGTGTGGGGTCTGCAGAGCTGCCAGTCCCCTGCTTGGTGCCCAGTGGGCACAGCTCACGTTAGCTGACTTAGGGGCCACAGCCCTGCAGATCCTGGTGCAGCTTCAGGCCCTGGAGGCGAGGCTCATACCACTGGATAAGAGACCCAGCCCGCGGGGGGGGGGGGGGGGGGGTTGGGGGGGTATCATCCTCACCTTTGTGCACTAACCCCCCCCCCCCAACCTCCAGGGCCTTAAACTTCGGTGGCATCGGTGTCGTCGTGGGCCATGAACTGACTCATGCGTTCGATGATCAAGGTACAGGTGCATAGGGTCCCCTTAAAGCCCACCAGCTCCTGGCCCCTGCCCCTATTCCCTGGTCCCTTTGCTTCTAAGGGTCTTAGCTTTGGAGACAGAAGGATCAGAGTTCAAGTCCTGGGTCTGCCATCAGCAAGTCCTTCTCCAAGCCTTGTCTGTAAAAGGGGTGTGGCTGTGCCACAGGGTATTCGGGGACTGCATGAGAGCCCCCAGGTGCCAGTATGCCTTTCTCCCCCCATTCCAGAGACCTCTCTGGTCTGTCCACAGTTAGAGTCAAAATCAGGCCCTCCTTACTAGCGAATGTCCACACTTCTTGCTGCCTGCCTTGGGGATCCCTCAGGCAAGAGGAGGAGGCAGAGAGCACGGGGATGAGGGGTCTCTGCCCATGTGGCCTGGGACAGGGGTGGGGGGAGGAGAGCTGGGGATGCGAGCATGGGTCCCTGCCCAGCAGGCCGGGAGTATGACAAGGATGGGAACCTCCGGCCCTGGTGGAAGAACTCCTCGGTGGAGGCCTTCAAGCGGCAGACAGAGTGCATGGTAGGCCAGTACAGCAACTACAGCGTGAATGGGGAGCCTGTGAACGGCCGCCACACCCTCGGGGAGAACATCGCCGACAACGGGGGCCTCAAGGCCGCCTACCGGGTGCGTGCTCCCCACGGTCAGCCCTGCACACACCTCAGCCTCCTCATCCCGGAAATGGGCTGGCAAGACAGATGGAAAGCTGACTGAGAAAGAAGTGGGCTTCCTGCCCCAAGCCTGCCTGCTTGAGGCCTAGGGAAGGGCCAAGCTGTCTCCTGCAGAGCCTGCCTGCTCTTACCTGTGCAGGGAATGCCACCACCATGTCAGGCAGCAGAGGGTGAGGGAGAGAGGAGGCAGCAGATACAGGGTCAGTTCCAGCTTCCTGGGTCTCCACGTTTGGCTCAGACTGTGCCATTAGACTGCTAGGAAAATGAGACCCGATGGCTCAGCAGCCCTTAGAGTTGTCAGCTGAGCTGGGCAAGAGGGAAGACGGGAGCAGAGAAGAGAGGGCTGTGTCCCGGCCATCGGAGCAGAAATGCTATCTGGCAGGATTGTGCAGGCCTGCCTGTAAGCAGGGTTGGCGTTCTCGACAACTTCACCAAGCTCTGCCTTTCTCTCGCTTCAGGCCTACCAGAACTGGGTGAAGAAGAATGGGGCTGAGCAGACGTTACCCACCCTGGGGCTCACCAACAACCAGCTCTTCTTTCTGGGGTTTGCACAGGTAAGTGTGCTAGGAGAAAGTGCCAAACACGGGTGCCTTCTGCCAGCAGACTAGCCCAAGAGCTCTGGAGCCAGAAGGCAGCATGCCTTACACGGATGCTTCCTGAGCTCAGACTGTCCACAGGACACCAGCCTGTGAGGAACCAGGCTTCCTGTCATGGGGGGATGCAAGGAAAGGCCAGGAACACTAATAGAGAGATTCTGCATCTGGTAGCTGGAGAAGCAGGTGACCACTAAGGCCCCCTTTGATTCCAGGGTTCTAGACTTTTTTTTTCCTTTTGGGGTGAGTACTGAGGTTTGAACTCAAAGCCTTCCGTTTGCTATACCTGATCCACTTAGCCACACACCCCCAGCCCTGTTTTTCAAGGTTTGTTGTTTTTATTTTCTTTTAAGTTGGTACTAGGGCTGGAACTCAGGGCCTGAGTGCTGTTCCTTAGCTTTTTTGCTTAAGTCTAGCACTCTAATACTTGAGCCTAGCCCTGGTTCCAGCTTTTTGGTGGTAAGATGGAGGTAAGAGTCTCATGGACTTACCTGCCCAGGCTGATTTTGAACCATGATCCTCAAACCCCAGTCTCCTGAGTAGCTAGGATTACAGGCTTGAGTACCATTGCCCAGCTATTCAAGGATTATTTTTATGAGTTGCTTCCTACCACAGAGCACACCTAAGCTACGATCTGCCTACTTTAGGCTTTCCATAATGACTAGGATCACTCGCACATGCTACCATATCTAGCTTCCTTCCATGGAGACAAAGTCTTACAGACTATCGCTCAAGCTGGTCTTGAACCACAGTACTCCATTCTCGGCCTCCTAAGTTATTGCGTTTTTGTGTGTGGCAGTACTAGAGTTTGAATTCATGACATCATGATTGCTCAGTTTTCTGGCTTGATACTAGAACTATTTGAGTCATGCTTTTCTGCTACTTAATCAGAGATGGAGTTTCTGACACTTTTCTGCCCAGGCTGGCCTCAAACCTAGATCTTCTAGAACTCAGACTCCTGAGCAACTAGGATTTCAGATGTCAACCACCAGCACCCAGCAGGGTTTAGAAATTTTATAAATATAGGGCTGGGAAGGTGGCTCAGTGGTAGAGTGCTTGCCTTGAATGCATGAAGCCCTGGGTTCGATTCCTGAGCATAAACAGCAAACGCCGGGAGTGGCTCCATGGCTCAAGAGGTAGAATGCTAGCCTGAGCTGAAGAGCTTAGGGTCAGCACCCAGGCCCAGAGTTCAAGACCCACAACTGACAAATAAATAAATAAATAAATATAAAGTATGCCAGGTTGTCCCCTGAGTTGGCATCTAGCCAATAGCTTTCTGTGGGTGCCCAGAGCCAGCAGGTCATTAGATAAGTGTCCTGTCTAGCAAATGAGAAGTCTGGATGAAACCTGCAGATTTCAAAGTGGTGTTTAGGTAGAATCCCTTGCCTAGATGGAATCCTGTGCAGAGGTGTCCCGCTCAGAGCTCCTCCTTTCTGACCCCCTGGGGTCCCATAGGTGGTGGCTCATCCTGCTTCTGTTGTCATGGACACAGTCGACAGCCTCAGGGCTGCTGGTGACCTCAGCCCCTCCCCATTGTTCCCTTAAAGGTCTGGTGCTCTGTCCGAACGCCCGAAAGCTCCCACGAAGGCCTCATCACCGACCCCCACAGCCCCTCCCGCTTCAGGGTCATCGGCTCCCTCTCCAACTCCAAGGAGTTCTCTGAACACTTCCGCTGCCCACCCGGCTCTCCCATGAACCCTCATCACAAATGTGAAGTCTGGTAAGGGACGAAGCTTTGAGAGCCATGATGGAGGAGAAGGAGGAACTGAGGACCCCTGGGCAGGGCTGTTGAGTTCAGCTCCCCTTCTAGTCCCAGGGCATCGTCCACCCCTTGGCCACCAGAGCCCTCTTCCCTGCACTGGAGGGTTTACAGCCGGCACCTAGCTTGTGATGGAGGTTCTTAACCCAAGATTTGGCCCCCTGAGAACACCATGGTCCCCAGTGGGCTGGTACCAACTCTGGCCAGCATTCGGGTGTCAGGCTCACCAGGCCTGAGCTTCGCACCAACAAGGGTAATGGGACATAGCCCCCTGCCTACATTCAATGCCACATATACCAGAATGCCACTGTGTCAAATGCTTTAAAGATATATTTTTGGGGAAACTATTTTTTAAACATTGTGGAATACACTGGAAATCTTCAGGGAAAAAAATGCATTTAAAACACTTTTTTTTTTAAGGAAAGGATTGGTATATTTATTGTGTTTTTTTTTTCTAAGTAACCTGTGGACAAAGGAAGCCCCACTGACCCAGCTCTGAGGCTGGAACCCTAGGCCACTGAGCAGGACCCCATATTGAGAGCTGTTCCAGCCCTTGTGGCATGGTACTGCAGCCAGGGCATTGCTCAGCAGTCACCCGTGCAGACAGAGGGGGACAGGGCAGGCAGAGAGCCTAGTCACAGCCGTGACCCATCTGGGCTCACCTACCTGTGCCCCCAGCGTCCAGCGCCCAGCAGCACTGACAGTGGTGGCAGAATGAGGCCAAATCAGGGCCCTCCACATAAACTGGGGATCCCTGGGTCCCTCCGATCTAGACCACAGAAGCTCTCAGAGCAGACTCTGCCATGAGACACTGTCCTGCTGTCCACTGATGCCCTCTTCCAGCCCCTCCTCTTTTGGCCACCCCATGACCATTCCAGGGACTTTCCCTCACAGTAGCACTCACTCCCCCATCCTGAAGTGGTCTGCCTGGATGGCCTCTCCCCCAAGGTAAAGAGAAGAGCGAACAGCTCGCATTTCCTCCAAGGCCCGTGTCCTCCCCCGAGCTCCGGGCCCCATCACCGGCCTGACTCCCAGGACCGGTTTTCTTTTAGTGCCTTATTTGAGGCTCCGGCCCCTGGGCTCCACCAGTGGGGTGGCCCTTGGCCTCCTCAGTGGAGTCCCTAAATGTCCTGATGGGAACCCAAGGCCATACTCCCAATCCTGGTGCCCCCAGGACCACCCTACACCACCCCCAAAGCTCTAGCTTTCAGGGCAATAGCTCCAGATATCAAAAATCAAGAACCACTGCCCTCACCCTGGGCTCCAGTCACTGGTTCCTGGGGTTGGATCAAGACAGCACTTGTGCCAGGCACTGGTGACTCACACCTGTAATCCTAGCTTCTCAGGAGGCTGAGATCTAAGAGGATCATGGTTCAAAGCCAGCCCAGACAGGAAAATCCATGAGACTCTTGGCTCCAATTAGCTGCCAGAAAACCAGAAGTGGTGCTGTGGCTCAAAGTAGTAGAGTGCTAGCCTTGAGCAAAAAGAGTTCAGGGACAGCACACAGGCCCCGAGTTCAACCCCCAGGACTGACCAAAAATAATAAAGACAGCACTGGTAGCTAGATAGACTCTCTCCAGAGGTCTTCTTATCCTGAGGAAGCTGTGGACACACAGCTCCCCAACCCAGTCTGGGCTTCAGCATGTGGGGAATGTCTTCCACTCCCTGAGGCCAGAGCTTCTCCAGCAGGGGGTGCTTGCTGTAGTCCTTCACCCCTGCAGCAAAACAGCCCACCCAGTGCCCACAGCGCATGCCCCTCACCCAAGAAGTCGAAGTCCTCCATCCCCCAAAGAGCACAGCCCGATGTGCTGGCTCTGGATGAGGCTCTGGTTCCCCGCATGCAAGTTCAAGCCAGGTTGCTCCAGGAGAAGCTAAGACAGGACCCAGAAAGGAGCTGGAGCCACGCACTGCCACACTACAGTGGGCCCTCTGCCTCCTCCCTTTGGACAAGCAGTCCTGGAAAAGGACAGGCCACTGTCCAGACTCAGGTGTCCTGTAAGGAAACAGGAGGACCCGCCCCCTGCTGCTCAGGGCCGATGGGAAGGCAGGGGAAGGGGAGGAGAGGGCCTAGGCCCAGCAGGGATGGGTGTTTGCAGAGGCAGCACTACTCTCCGCTGTGCCTCCCCTCTGGGTCTAGGAGCCAAAAGGCCGGCTTCTCTGAGGGCACATGGACTTGGGGTTTAGAGCTGGGAATGTATTTTTTTGTATTACTATGTTTCGTGCTACTGTAGCTTTGGTGTGGCACTGTTGAAATTAAAATAAAGTACTTGTACCAAGGGCCCCATGTCTGTTCTTGTGTGACATTTGTGTGAGCTGCCCCTGCTGGTGAAAACATAGCATAGCACGGCCTGACAGGCCACCTAGTAAAAATGTCTCCCCCTTCTGCAAAGGACTTGACAGATCTCAAATATTTGGACAGGGCAGGCCGCAGTTGGGAAGTTCAAAGGAAGAGCCTCTCCTTGGGTTTTGACTAGATTTCCCCCTCTACCTGGACTGTTTGCCCCTTGGCTTCTCTGCCTGATTTCTAACTCTGTCAAAGCCCACAAAGCAGAGATCAGTGCCAGCCAATGCCAGCTGATCCATCCAGTTCTGCATCCCAGAAGTAGGGAAGTAGCTGCAGGGTGATTTTGAACCCCCACTGGACTAGGCATAGGAACTTGGCCTCTATAAGCCCTCACTCTGATGGACCACCAGACCCTTTGAGTTTCCAGCAGTAGTGTCAGTTCAGAGCCAGTGTCCTGCAGCCTCTGATCCCATTACTTCCTGTTCCCCAACACAGTCCCTCTGACAAATAACCCCAGTTCCCTTGGGGAAAATTCTGGACAATGTCTAGGAGTTTCTGAGGCTATAGCTCTCTGTTGTAGTGAGTTAAGTTAGCATCTATTCACTATGTCTAGAGCCTACTTGCCAGAATTTAGTGGCTTGTTCATCCTTATCTCTGAGGATGCCCTGGTCTATAAACCGATGCTGGGTCTCTCACTGAAACCCTTCCACTGAGTACTGTTGTCTGCTGTTCACTCCCCAGAGTAGGTACCTTCTCCTGGGCTCGGCTAAGTACTGCTACTTGATCCTTTTGTCCCTTGATACGCTGAGGGAATCCAGATCAATGGGAAATTCAGCAGTTCCCACAGCCATCACTGAACTAAAGGGAAAAGAGCACAGAGCTCTTTAAGGTGGCTCACAAGTGCATTCATCTCGGCCCTGAGAGGTGTGTCCTCTGACCCTTCCAGGTGGGTAAGGCGGTCTTTCATGGCAGATCCACTCTGAGAGTCCAACCCTAAGCCTTTGGATCTCTTCTTTGCGGTACAGCAAGGCATTGTGGGGTTTCAGCTTCATTCAGTGTGTGTCACCTTTGGACCTGCAATCAATCAAACAGTTATGCACCTTTCAGTCCCTTGAGCTAAAACTGAGTTCAGGCTTTCACATCTACTCGGCCGAGAATGGCAAACATTTGTTTTCCTCTTTTTGTGGTGCCGGGAATTAAACCCAGGTAAATATGCCAGGCAAGTGCTCTACCACTGAGCCCAGTGCACATTTTCTGTAGGGACCAGTAAGTAAATGGTTTTCATCTTTGCACATCCCTCAGGTTTGCTCTTGGAGTATCAAAGCAGTCACAGACATAGGCAAATGAAAGAGTATGTGCCAATAAAATATTCCTTATGAATACTGAAACTTGAATTTATTAGAGCTTTTATGTGTCATGAAGTATGATTATTTAGTATTTATTTCGGTGGCACTGGGGTTTGAATTCAGGGTCTTGCACACACTTGTTTGTTCAGCTGGTGCTCTACCACTTGAACCACACCTCTTGCCCAGTTTTTTGGCTGGTTCTTTTGAAGATGAGAGTTTCCCAAACTTTTCTGTTCAGGCTGGTCTGGAATTCTAGTAGCTAGGATTGTAGGCTTGAGCCACTGGCACCTAGTTTTCTCTCTTTTTTTCCTTTGTGTATATGCACTGGGATGGAACCTAGGGTTTTGCACATGCTAAGTACATGCTCTATCATGAATTATAGCCCTAGTCCTATCAGTCTGTTTTCAAGTTTACTTATGCCTCTGCTTTGATGTCTGCTCTTGAGCTACACAAAGCATTTCTTTTCATTCCCATGCTGGGTTTTCCAATTTCTAATTTCCATTTGACAATTAGAGTTCCCATCCCCGACCGACTTACTCATCTGTTTACGCTCTTGGCTCACCTTTTCCATTAGCCCCTTCCACATATGATAATGACTATCTAAACCCCTGCTATGGCCTCTTTTCTTTTTTGGCCTCTTTTCTATTGCCACTTAGGGTTTCCATCTGAGAGGGAAGATGAGGGAAAGAAAAGGGAGCTGTTAAGGAGATATGGATTAAAAAGCAGCAGAGAGGCCAGGTGCTGGTGGCACACGCCTGTAATCCTGGCTACTCAGGAGGCTGAGATCTGAGGATTGCGGTTCAAAGGAAAGTCCATGAGAGTCTTATCTCCAATAAGCCACTCAGAAAACTTGAAGTGCTGCTGTGGCTCAAGTGCTAGCCTTGAGCTGAAGAGCTGAGAGACAGCCTAGGCCCAGAGTTCAAGCCCCACAACCAACAACAAAAAAAGTGGCAGAGAAAACACATGATGGATAACGTGACCTATTGTGGCACTTCCCATAATGCCTCAGGCTCCTGCTCAGATGCTATTTCTTCCTATTATACCCTGGGTGTCCAGTCAACCAATAAAAAGAGCTAGGGCAATAACTAAACCATGAAGAAATCAGTGTAAAGCTCAGGGCCCTCTTTGGGACCCCTATCTGAATGGAGAGGCTGGCTACTTTCCTTTTAATGCTCACTTTCTTGTTTTGTCATCAGTCCTGGGGCTTGAATTCTGGGCCTAGGCGCTGTCCCTCAGCTCTTCAGCTCAAGGCAAGCATTCTACCACCTGAGCCACAGCGCCATTTTGGTTTTCTGGTGGTTTGTTGGAGATAAGTCTCACAGACATTTATGCCCAGGCTGGCTTTGAATTGCAATCGTCAGATCTCAGCCTCCTGAGTAGCCAGGATTACAGGTGTGAGCCACCGGCGCCCAGCCACTGTACCCTTTCAAATAAGCTTTCTCTGTCTGTTTTAAAACAAACACAAAAACCTACTGCTAATAGTTTGAATAATTGCTTCATTTCTGAAACTGGCTTGGTAGAAGATGGCTTTGCTTTTTTTTTTCCAGAAGAATGGCTTGAACTCAAGGTCTGGGCACTGTTCCCGAGCTTCTTTGTGCTCAAGGCTAGTGCTCTGCCACTTGAGCCACTGCACCACTTCTCATTTGTTTTGTTTTGTGTTGTCGGTCGTGGGCTTGAACTCTAGGCCTAGGCGCTGTCCTTCAGCTCTTCAGCTCAAGGCTAGTGCTCTACCACTTGAGCCATAGTGCCACTTCCAGCTTTTTCTGCTTATATGGTGCTGAGGAATCGAACCTAGGGCCTCATGCATGCAAGGCAAGCGCTCTACCACTGAGCCACCTTCTCAGCCCCCACTTCTGGTTTTTGAGTGGTTAATGGCTTTATATCTTGACAGTGGATTGTTGAAATGTTTTCCCTCACTTTTTTGTGTTTTATGTATTCTTTAGAGTGAGCACTACTGGATTTTGAACTGAGGGCCCCCACTTAATAGATACTACTTGAGCCCAACCTCCAGACCTGTTTTATAACTTTTTTGGGGGAATGAGGGAGGTTGGTCATAGTGCTTGAACTTAGAGTCTGGGTACTGTCCCTGAGCTCTTTTGCTCAAAGCTAGCACTCTACCACTTTGAGCCATACCTCCACTTCTATTTTTTTACTGATGATTAATTGGAGAAGAACCTAACAGGGGCTGGGAATGTGGCTCAGTGGTAGAGTGCTTGCCTAGCATGCATGAAGCCCTGGGTACAATTCCTTAGTACCACATAAATAGAAAAAGCCAAAAGTGGTGCTGTAGCTCAAGTGATTGAGTGCTAGCCTTGAGAAAAAGTAGCTCAGGGACAGTGCCCAGGCCCTGAGTTCAAGCCCCAGGACTGGCAAAAAAATAAAATAAAGTCTGACAGACTTTCCTGCCCAGGCTGACTTTGAATCACGATCCTCAGTTCTCTCAGCCTCCTGAGTAGCTAGGATTACAGGCGTAAGCCACTGACACTGGGCTTGGAGTCTGTTTCTGCACCTGTGGAAGGGTGCTGGTAATGCTCACCTCCCAGAAAGCTTATATGAGGTAATGAGATCAAATGTTTCTCTATAGAAAGCAGCAAGGCATGACTGATCGCTGGATTTCTGTTTCTTGGCTGTGCAAAAGTTCAGAGGCAGGGAATGCTGTCAGGCTAGGCTGGGCAGGGATAATCCTGGGAAGAGAGGCTGCAAATCAAGAAGGTAGGGCCCAGCTCAGGCAGTCTGCCTTTAAGTCCTGGGTCCCTCTGTTTCACTCTGCTGCCATGGGTACATGGAGCAGACTCTTGAAGCCTTGGTTTCCTCATCACAGAATGGGGTTTTGTGATTTGTGAAAATTCAACTGATTAATGCACATAAAGGTATAGAATACTTCCTGGCAGGGCTGGGAAGGTGGCTCAGTGGTAGAGTGCTTGCCTTGCATGCTCGAGGACCTGGGTTCGATTCCTCGGCCCCACATAAGAAAAAAGAAAAAAGCCGGAAGTGGCGCTGTGGCTCAAGTGGTAGAGTGCTAGCCTTGAGCTGAAGAGCTGAGGGACAGCGCCCAGGCCCAGAGTTCAGGCCCCACAACTGGACCCCTCCCCCCAAAAAAGAATACTTCCTGGCACCCAGTGATTAGTATAGAGGGGATTTTCATTTTATTTTTCGTTAATTATTTTCTTCCTTTTTTTTTTTTATTTTTTTTTTAGGTCCAGTCGTGGGGCCTGAACTCTGGGCCTGGGCTCTGTCCCTCAGCTCTTCAGCTCAAGGCTAGCACTCTACCACTTGAGACACAGCGCCACTTCCGGCTTTTTTCTTTTTGCTTATGTGGTGCTGAGGAATCGAACCCAGGGCTTCATGCATGCAAGGCAAGCACTCTACCACTGAGCCACCTTCCCAGCCCCCTTTTCTTCCTTCTTTCAACAAATAATGAGGACATACTTTGTGCTAGGAACTGTACTAGGTGCTAGGAAACTAGCACTGAAGGAGATAAGATTCCCATAAACTATCAAGAAAAGCAGTCCTGGTTGGGAATGTGGCTTAATGGTAGAGTGCTTGCCTAGCATGCATGAAGCCCTAGGTTCAATTCCTCAGTACCACACAAACAGTGGCACAGTGGCTCAAGTGGTAGAGTGCTAGCCTTGAGTAAATGAAGCTCAGGGACAATGCCCAGGCAGGACTGGCAAAAGTAAAGAAAAGCAGTCCTACTGGGCACTGGTAGCTCATGCCCGTAATCCTGCTCAGGAGGCTGAAATCTGAGGATTGAGGCTTGAAGTCAGCCCCAGCAGAGAAATCCATGAGACTCTTATCTCCCGTTAACCAGCAAACAGCCAGAAGTAGAGCTCTGGCTCACATGGAAGATACCAGCATTGAGCACAAAAATTAAGGGAGAGTGCCCTGGTCCAAGAAAGGAAGACTCTGGACAAGGAATTGCAACTCCAAAGAGCATTCTAAAACTGGAAATGCAGGGGATAGAGAAGTGCACCTTCAGCCAGAGCTGGTGGCTCAAGCCTGTAATCCTAGCTACTCAGGAGGCTGAGATCTGAAGATCCTAGTTTAAAGTCAGGCGATAAGATAAATCTGAAAAACTTGTATCTCCAATTAACCGTGGGAAAAGCTGGAAATGGAAGTGTGGCTCAAATGATAGAGCACTAGCTTTGAGCAAAAACCCAAGGAAGAGTGGTCTGGCCTTGAGTCTGAGCCCAAACCCCAGTACCAGAATAACAACAAAAAGCACTTTAGGCTGCAACTTAGAGGGAGAGTACTCGCATAGGCTGATCCAGACCCAAGTTCAATCTCTAACACCAGGAAAAACAAAACAGAGCCCATCTCTAGTACTCACAGCACCTTTCAGCTAGATGTGGAGGACAGCAGGAATTTACCATGTGCTGGGAATTTGCTAAGTGTGTCAGGCCAAGGCTGACTTAAGAAGAAACTCAGACAGGTGCAAACAACTATAAGATCTGTGAGGCTGGAGACTCAGAGAGAGATAGTGATCATTGCTAGCAGTGGGCCCCAGTGAGGACTGGGCTTTTTTCACAGATTAACCGAAGCTACTGGAGAGTCTCTAAGCTGGTGAGTAATGTGCTCAGCTTTGGTGTTTATTTTTCCCTTGATTTTTTGAGACAGTGGCTTACTAGCTAGCCCAGGATGGCCTTGAATTCAAGATCCTCCTGCCTCAGCTTCTTTTTTTGGGGGGAGGGGGTCTGGTCATGGGGCCTGAACTCTGGGCTGGGCGCTGTCCCTCAGCTCTTCAGCTCAAGGCTAACGCTTTACCACTTGAGCCATAGCACCACTTCTGGCTTTTTTCTTTTTGCTTATGTGGTGCTGAGGAATCGAACCCAGGGCCTCATGCATGCAAGGCAAGCACTCTACCACTGAGCCACCTTCCCAGCCCTGCCTCAGCTTCCTGAGTGCTGAGATTGTAGGCATGGCTGGTTTAGACTTGGGTTTTTAAAGGCTATTGGGCAGGCTGTGCAGAGAATGGATTGGAAGAGGGCTGGATGGAAGTAGGGAGCCAAGTTAGGCTCATAGGGAAAAACAAGGAAGCATGACACACCCAACATGACAAGCAGCATGGGCTTGGACCCTGTGCACTATTTCCAGACCTTCCAGAGAAAATCCCTGGTTCTAAGGGGCATGTGCTGGCTCCGACCTGCTGTTTCTTGCTACAGTTTTTAAATATCACCACAAGGGGGCGCAAGACACAAAGAAGTTGGAATATGCTCTGGTTTCACCTTGTGGAGACTGCCAGGCCAGAAGGGGTCCCCTCTTGTTCACTGAGAAGGCTGACAGAAGCTGAAGGGAACCAGCTCTCAACTCCCTCGGTGCTCATTGGAAGGCAGGGAGGAAACTGGAAGGAACCCTGAAAATGTGAGTTCTAGGCTGGGCAAAGTCTCTTCTCTAGATCACCAATATCAGTAAGAGGGTACTAGCATTCCTGGCCCAGGCCCCTCTCTTTGCCCTCAGAGACTCAGAGCTGGATGTTAGAGGGGCTTCAGTTTAATTCTCATTCCAACCCAGCTACACTTTCCATCTATGCTAAGAAATAAGAATTCTACCATGTAATTGTAACTCCTCTGTACACTACTGTTTCAATTTAAAAAAAAAACTCATTAAATAAAAAAATGAGAATTCTAGCCTGGCGCCGGTGGCTCACGCCTGTAATCCTAGCTACTCAGGAGGCTGAGATCTGAGGATCGCAGTTCAAAGCCAGCCCAGGCAGGAGAGTTCTTGAGACTCTTATCTCCCACAAATCACTTGAAAACCAGAAGTGG